TCATGTGACCAAGCCTTTGGTGTCATAGGTTTGATTTTCCATCAGCATCTGTGGCTGTAATGATATTCTCTAAATTTGGGGTTACATAGAGAGTACCAGTTTTCTTACCACGAGCAATGACGACTCCTTTGGTAATCTTCCATTCACAGCCTGAAAAGGTTGTGTTATATCCTTCTCTATCAAGCTGTCCAACAGAAATCAGATTTCTTTTGAGGCTAGGAATATATCTCACTCCTTTCAGCGTCCAGGTGGTCTGGTTTGGCAACTTTAGTCGGATGTCTCCTTTTCCGACGATCTTCAAGGTTTCATCATCAGCTAGATGAACCTTCCCAAAATCACCACTGATATAATTTTCCATGATTTCTCAGCATGGGGTGGAGTGGAAAGATGCCCCTGAATCCAAGATCCATGATTCAATCGGACTGTTGAAGCTTAGAATCATGGCATCACATGTCTCCTTTGTCACGTTGGCAGATTTCTGTGCGCCAATATTTTTCTTCAGTGCTCGACAATCTCTTTTAAAGTGACCCTTCTTGCAACAATTATAACAGGTAAAATCTTTCTTTCCCGTTCTGGATTTTCCCCGTCTGGATTTCGATCTGTCATGATTTGAATTTCTTTCTGAAGTTCTCCCTCTGGACTCCGTGTACAAGGCTGAGGAGGTTGATGCTTCACCCGATTCTCTCCGTCGAATTTCTTCACTCAGTACTAGATCCCGAACATCGTCGAATTTCAATTTACTATTTCCCGACGAGATGCTAACTGCTGTAACAGTAGCATTCCAACTGTCTGGTAGAGATGATAAGAGAATTAAAGCTCGAACTTCATCATCGAATTTAATTTCCACTGAACTCAACTGGGTCGTGATTGTGTTGAGTTCATTTAGGTGTTGTGCCATCGATGCCCCTTCTGTCATCCACAAATTGAATAATCGCCTCATCAAGTGCATTTTGTTTGAGGCTGATGGCTTCTCATACATACTGGAGAGAGCGGCCATAAGACCCGCCGTGGTCTTTTCCTTTGCTATGTTGAAAGCAACATTGCGGGATAACGTCAGTCGGATAACTCTGAGGGCTTGTCTGTCGAGAAGAGCCCAGTCTTCATTCTTCATGCCCTCTGGTTGCTTTCCTGAGAGAGGTTGATATAGATTTTTCTGGTACATAAAATCTTCAATCTGCATTTTCCAAAAGCCAAAGTCCGCACCATCGAACTTTTCAATTTTCACATTCCCTTCGTCTGTAGCCATCGCTCCCACTCGAATCTGGTTTCGTTTGGATCGTTTCTGACAATTCTTACGAACCACTGTGTATTAGAACACCTCATTCGACAAGCTCGTATCGGCGAAATTTTTTTACTATTCACGAAATTCACTATTCATGTGAATAGTAATGAATAGTAACCTCACAAAAAAATTTGACAAAATTCACAACCAAAAGCTCTGATGCCAGTTGTTGGGAAATAAATCGAGTACAAGTAATTTCCCTATAACCAGATTAGTGAGAATGCGAAATAAAAACGTTAAAATAATACCCGAAATTGATAACGGAGTTCAACCAATTTTGCTTATGTCTCCGGACTGCTGCAGATCTTTTACTGAGAGAGAAAATTTACAGGTATTTACAAAACACTCACTACTCACAAGAAAGCTCTCTAGTATTGGGAGAAAGAAATGATTTTTGGGATGGATTTGAAGCTAAATGAGCTAGGGTATTTATAGTTGAAACTTAAGGACTTAATCATGTAAATACCCTAAAGTCTAGTGACTAATTAGGATTATCCCATTACAATATTTCAACAAACATCTACCAAACTTTAAAAACCCATTTTTCAAAGAAACATTTATCAAACTTTGAAAACCATTTTTCCAAAATTGATTGCCAAACTTTGAACCTTTTAATTTGGTGCATTGCTTGACTTTCAACACACCAACCTATGAAGGCCACGAACTTGTCAAGTGGCTCACGGATTTGGTTTGAAACAAGTTGTCCATAGTGCCAAGTGAACCATCCTTTTCTAGGTTTTATATCGCTGAGTTCATTCCTTTTTAGAGCTTCTCCAAAATTATTCATGTCCGCCCATGGTCTTCTACGGCCACCAACTTTCTCATTAGGTAGGAGGATCTCTTTGAAATATCCACCCACCAGTCATGAAAGATTCGAGTGGTCCCGAATTTGGTCCAAAAGATCCCAGCTCTCCCATTTCCTGTGTCGAACACACATGCCATAGAAACCGGCAAAACGAAAATGCTCATTTGTCCCTTGATACACAACATCAATGTACATCTTAGAGGTGCCTAAGAAGTCCACCTTAATTTCATCATTCCACATCAAAATGAGTCCAGTACTATCCTGATTCCGTTCCACAACATTGCTGCCACTCATTCCCATATTCACTCTCAATTTCTCTACTTTGGTCTTTCTAAGGCGAGATTCACATACAAACACCAAACTGGGATCTTTAGAGGATATCAACCTCATTAGTTCACAAACTGTCGATGAGTTCCCAAACCCACGATAGCTTCATCCAAGAACGATCATTGCTGTTTGCAGGCTCTGCCAATTCGACATGTGATTTTTCTTGGCCGCTCACCTCCGCATCTTCTGCTTGATTATTCTCAATGTCTTTTCTGCGTGACTTTTTAGGAGTCAAATTATGAGCCATTTCACTTTTCCTCCAAAAAAGCTCTTTTGATACTTCTTTTTCTTCCCTCGGACTTGTCTCTTGGATCTTCACGACAGATAGGAACAATCGTCATATCCTCTACTGGCTCTTTTCCAATGCTTAGTTCTTGCACACCAGCTTCTTGTATTAATGCTTTATGTTTTCTCTGGTTCATTTTCCACTATCACAGTTCCTTTGTTTCGTGCATCCCTTTTTGGAACGTTCTTCTTAATCGGGTTGACCTTGAGAGATTCTCCGTATTGTGGTGGTTCCTTTGTTTCAGGTTGTTTGGTTATGCAGGAAGAAGAACTATGGCCAATGATTCCACATTCATAGCAAAAGGTAGGTAGGCGCTCGTACTCAATTGGACATAACCTCGGTTGGCCATTAACTTTTGACTCTATATTGATGCATCTATGTAGAGGTTGTTTGCTATCTATCACCACCCGTATTCTGAGAAAATCACCGAGTCTTCCTTCTCCCTCTCGGAGATCGATAGCGATGGTTCTCCTAATAGCTTTACCAAACCGGTTCCCCGTTTGTCGATTTATCCATCCCAGCGGAATGTTATAGATCCTTAACCAGATTTGTAGATGGGAGAAATCGTATTGTTATTATCTGACTGATAGGGCTCACAGTTATATTTGATGATGAGATTTAAGTTCGTCCTACTCTGATATTTTTGGAGCTTTATTCCTACTACTTTATGTTAAAAAGTTGTCATTTATTTTAACGTATTCCTTTCTTTTTGGAATAAAAACAAAAAAAACCCTTCAAGAGAAAACACAAACACTGTGACAAAACTTGTTTATGATCTTTAGAAATATTTTAGAACAAGAAGAAAAGAAGGAAAATATAAAGAATAATGATTTGTTAGTCAAATGAAAATATTCTCTAACATTTGGTTTTACAAGATTTTCGAAGGTATGGAATTTTCTTGTTGGTCCAATGGAACGGACACATCATAAGACCACAACAATCTCTCAATGTCTCTTTCCCTTCCCTTATAATTTGATGGGGAAAGTATACCACTCATCAGGTGCTCCTTCGCTCTTCTCATCTTTCCTGTTCAATGAAATCTGCATCTCTGCTACTATTTTCTCAAAGTTTTATGTTCATTGTTTGTGCCCTGCAGAACAGAAAATTGCATATAATTTTCATATGCCGAATTTGCCTTAAAATTCCAATCACGGTTTTTTCTTTCTTGAGCCCTGCAGGGATCACCTTTTTGTGGGGCTCCTTTATTGTTCACGCTGTTTGAGAAAATGGAATTCCATTATTTCAGAAATAATCATTCCATATCTAAAAACTCAGCCAATAAAATATTAGTTTCAACTTGTTTCAGCGGTGCGAGCATGTGTACATAAGCTCATGCACGCAGGCTTCAAAAAGTAGCATCTAGAGGCTGGAAGATCTTCTGCCTTTATAGACTCTGTAGCTTTGTCGTGATGATGGGAAATTTATCACCTGGTGGACACAAATTTAAACTTAACCGGAAAGAGAAAAAGGGGGGGGGGAGTAGGAAAATTGCAGCCATCATTACAACCTATCATCATCCTCATTATTATGGTCTTGGGTTTTGAATATTTAATCAGTGGCACTCAAATGAATCATGTCTTTGATATTAAGGTCCAAAGTACATTGTTGAACTTGAAAGCAGATGCAATTAGTTGTGTGCTCGATGCTTTTACACAAATTTCTCAAGCTGTCAAGTCATCATGAGTGTCCCGCAGCTCTTTTTGAGACCCCCCGTGGTCCGTGCTCTTCTATTCAGCTTTACTCTCTCCCTCTACTTAGAGTAGATTCTAAGCTCTCCTTTTTCTGTGGGGGCTCTTGTAGTGTTTGATTCATGGGAAATTTCTAAATAAAGAAACTTTTTCAAGCAAAATGAACAGTTGAGAAAAAAGGGCAGGCTTGATGATGATGCGTTGCTCTTTTTACTGAAAATGCAGAGGTTAACCATGATTTAGCATTTCAATAGGAACAAGCAGAGGATACCAATAATCACACCTTTAGAGCTCATCAAGGGCCAGGGAGTACGAAATATTAAATGCTCTACTAAAAAATATTAAGAATATTCAAAATACATCATAAATGCAATCTCATATTTGACATTCTGAAATTTAATAAATTTAACTATTAATTTAATGCAACCCACCTCTCGTGTAAGGCAAAGAAAGTACTATCAGTTTTCAGTTTAAGATGTTGAAATTTATCAAATCAATCATCACTTTTATCTTCAAACTAATTGCATACTACTTTATAATATGTACCATTTTATACACAGGAAAATATAATTATATATATGCAATAAAAAGGAAAAGAAGGTAAAATAACCTATTGAAGTTGATAAATATGAAAAGAACAAAATCGAAACTAGAATTATCCACACAAAAAAATCGAAAATAGGCCTAGCAGTTAAGTTTGTCTTCCCCTTTAATGGATTTCTTGCAATGGGCAATCGCAGCTTGAATTGCAGCCTGCAACTCTTCCATGGTGCTGTCACTGGTTGAAGAAGAGTAGCCCGTGGTTGCAACAAGAAAACCACTGTTCGTAGGCGATGTCCTCATCGAAGCCGGCGCTGAACAGCAATCTCCTCTCCTTGCTCTCAAGTCTTTGTCTTTGCTTCTCGAACTTAAATTGCCTGAAAATGAGTGAGATTGCCTATGGAGATGGCGGTTCTCTCTCCTTCCTCTGAAGAACAACAACGGCCGAACCAGCCTCACGTATCTCTTCAAAACATGTCTCAAGTCGAATCTCATCTTTGTCTTGTGCTTCTCTTTTTCTTCTGTTTCTCTAACGCCACGCCCTTTGTGGTGGTGCCACTTTGTTAAATGGGGTAAGGAGAAAGACTTGGACTTGGGTCTTCCTTTGGCTTCAACGTCGTGGCTTTGATGAAAGTTACCAACTTTGGCATTCCCATGGTTCTTGTTGCTGTTTCTGATATTGCTGTCGCTTTTGCTTCTACAATCGGTGCTGCTGAGTTTATCAGGTTTGGGTTCATCCAATAAATCTCTAACGGGAACGTTGCATCCATCCAATGAATTCGTAGAGCAGCGTGGAGACACCGGGAGGTGAGAAAGGAGGTGGAGGGGGAGCAAATGACCATGAAAGAAAATGTCATCAGCTGGTGACAAATCGATAGCCATTGAAGGTGGGGTTTTGGTTTTACCCGGGACAGTGTTGGAGGAAGAATGGAGAGATACGATTGTGAAGGAGAATTCATGAGAAGGGGATGAAGATGCTGAAGGAGGTGAAGCTGGGGATTGCTTATATGCTGCTGACCCTTCTTCTAGCTTTATTTCTGCAACTTCCTCCCTGGTTTTTTGCTGCTGATAACCATCCATGATTGTAATTAAGCTAACTCCACAATATCTGATTCAGTATCTTAAATAAAATGATTTTTCCCCCTGCTGAGAGAGGGAGAGGGGGTGGGGAATATGGATAGAGAGAGAGTGTTTGTAAATGGGACATATTTTGGTTACCTTTATGCATTATTCAATAAGATAAAAAGGGTGGTGGCGGTGGCACTATGACGGTAAATGAGACGAGATAGATCGCGAGCTACTCGAGATTGACTCGATCAAGGCTCGATAAATATTCGGATCGAATGGACTCGACTCGAGTTCTTAACGAGCCGGAACGAGCTACTCGATATTCGACTCGAAAATCTCGTGAACAGCTCGAAAATATAATATATTAAAATTTTATTTTTTTAGAAATAAATTATTAATAATATTAATATTTATGTATTGATTTTTTATTAAAAAAATATAGTAAGATTTCTTGTATTTAAGGTTTTTGTTCGAGTTTGAGGCTTCAATCGAGTTAAGTTTAAGAATTTTTTTTTTCATTTCGAGCCTTTTCGAGCTACTCACGAGCTTCAGTTTAGGATTTCGAGTCGAGCTTGAAAATTTTAAGCTCACGAATTTTCGAGTCGAGTCGAGCTTCATTTCAAAGTTTCAGCTCGTTTACACCCGTAGGTGGCACTTTGAAGATGGGGTGAGATTGAAATATTTAGCAGATGAAGCATAGAAAGGGTTGGTGGGTCCTTGTCAAATCCAACAACTGATACAAAGAAATTTAGATTACAAACATCCAAATTTGCCCACAACAGGCTTATGGAATGGCAATGCAAAAAAGTTTTGTTCTCCAATGTGAGTTGTTATGTGAATACGACGTGTCGTAACCGGTTTTTGTCCGGGTACGAATTTATTACTTGACAGGAAAAGTGATGTGAATAAATTGTTTTTAAAATAATTTGGGAGTCGTCATCGGCTTTTTGGGTCAGGTAGGTCGAATACCTAAAAATCATCTTTTAAAAGAGTTTTTAAGAAAACATCGATTAAAAGATAAACTGATCTGCGTTTTAACCAAAAATTCATTCTTTTTAATAATAAAAAGGGATTCGTGGTCGGTTACGTTTAGGGAATGATTAACACCCCTACAACGCCCAAAATTGATATTTTATTAATTATAAATTGTCTATATTATTGGAAATTAAAAATTCAAAAATATATTTAATTCATAATCCTTTTATTTCAAATTTATAATTTTAAGAAAATATATTAATAAGATATTTACATATTTAGAAATATCAGAAAAGGACTTCTAGGTGCTTTAAGACAGTTCTTTTCTTTGATATTAAAAAATAAATAAATAATTATATAATTTATTTTAATATAGTAAGATATTTATTTATTTAAAAATATTAGAAAAGGGCTTCTAGTTGTTTTAAGACAGCTATTTCCTTCGATATTTAAATAAATAAATAACTAAAACATAATAATAAAATAAAATTAAACATATCTAGTTCATAAATAGGATTTTTATTTTATAGAAAACAAATAAATAAATAAATAAATATTATTTATTATATATATTTATATGACTAAGATAATAATAAAATAATAATTAAAGCAATAATTGAAAAATAAAAGTAATAATATTGTAAATAAATAATGATTAAAATAAAATAAATTAAAATATAGTGTTAAAATGTAGAATATTTAAACATAGTATTCTACTTCAAAATATCATAAAATCCAGAGGCCTACAGTGTAATTTAGCCTTAATAATATATACGGGATTAAAATAAATATTAATTAAACTATGAGGGACTAAAATGGGTATTTGCTCTAATATATATATAAAATTTTGGTAAGGACTAAAACATAATAAAATAAAATTCGAAGACTGAATTAGAACGTTCAGAAGTTAGTTTCAGTGACTAAAATGAATAATTATAAAACTCGGATGGCTACGAAAAGGGTTTAGCCATACATGTAAATTACGCATTGTCGTAACTTTTTTTTTAAAAGAGCGAGATTTTGAAAACCATGTCATTTTTAATTATTTCTTAATTGATTAATTTAAATTAAAAAGTGAATATGATTTAAAAACCTTAAATTTCGAAAATTTGGAAATTCCTTTTACGATAGAAAAATAATGTTCGATGAGTCGCCACCAATCTTTTATTAGGATATGATTGGGCACCCAAAAATGTTTTGTCATTTTAAATAAAAATTAATTTTAATTAAAACGACAAATTTATGTCTACGTTACCAGAAAATGAGTTCGGGAGTCGGTTACGTGTGGGGAAGGATTAGCACCCCCACAATGCCCTAAATCAGTACCTAGTCGATTAATTAATTCCTTTACAATGAAATTTACAAGTTCGATTTTAATTTGATTTTTGATCCCATAAAACAATAAAAACATGGATTTTTTTTTCAAAAATAATAATAAATATACCAAAATAGTACAACTAAAAATTTAAAAACTAAAAAAATGGTAAAGATATAAGTTTAAAAGTATCAAAATGTCATAAAAACTTAAGGTACTTAAATAATAAAAATAGATAGTTTAAAGACTAAAATAATAAAAAATAGAAAATTAAGTAACTAAAATAATAAAAATATATAATAAAAACTTTAATTTACAATAATAAAAACTAACATTTAAAAAAAATTAAAATATTAAATTTTAAATAAAGATAAATGAATTTCTCAAAATTGAAAATATTAAATAATATAAGTATTAAAATAAAAATAACCTCAAAATAAAATTTAGGATTAAAATATAATAAATATAAATGTGAAGGCTAAATCAAAACATAAAAGAAGGATTAAAACAATATATTTATAAATATCATAATCAAATTCGAATAATATTAAAAATATACACATATTAAATTAGTGACTTAAATGCAAACTTTATAAACCAATAGAATAATTTATAATGTATACAAAATTCGTATAATAATATTCAAGTGGTCAAAATATAATTTATTCAAAATTTTAAGTTAAAATTGATATAAAAAAATATTAATTACAGTGACTAGAATGAATATGCGTAAAATAATATGAATAAATAAAAAATAACCATTTTTAATAAAAACTTGTCATGCAATTAAGCCTAAAATTATGACTAAAATAAAACGGATGTAAAGTAAAAAGGATTAAAAACGATAATTCCCATTTTATTTCAGGACACAAACGACTGACTACAAAGAGTGAAGGACTAAATTCAATATTTTCCCCTAATTTCTCAAAAACACGGGAATGGAGAAGGCAAAACTACGTCGTTTTGCTTTGGGTATTTATACCCAATTTCAAGCTTAATTTTCTCATTTCTTCCTCATTTCTGTTTGAATAGAGAGAGAGTATGAGAGAAATGCTCTTAACTCTCTCTTCAGAGAGTTCGCCGTCGGTAGGTGGTCCACGGCAACCGGCACGGCGGCGCACGGACCGAATGGTCCCAAAATTTTCCTCTCGTCACCCTCGACCCAAAAATCTGGTTTATTTCACCTAAAACCAACCCTAGAAACGTAGATCTAGAAATTACCTTTCGAATATTTGATGACTTTTGGCGTTCTCCGACTTCCGACGAACTAACCCTTCGGTAAGCTCTTTCTTTCCTTCTTTATTTTCCTTTGTATTTTCTGGTTTTGGTGTTCGAATACCCCCTCCTCTTGCTTTGTTTTTCTGGTTGTATTTATAACACCCTTTGAGTGGATTTTCCACTGGTTTTCGAGCAGTGGCATAGCATGATACAAAACTTTTTTAGAGTATTTTTTAGTGGATGTTTGGTTCGGTGGATGGATGATAATGTTTTTTATTTATTTTTTTCGGTTGATGGATGATGATTTGGTTTGGTTGATTGTTGGTTGCTGTTTGACACATGCAATGACGCTGGTGGATTTGTTGGTGACTCGGCGGTGCTCGGCGGAGCGTGCGGCGTCGGTGGCTCACTGTTATGGCGGTTTGGGCAGTGAACTGGTCACTGTTGAGGACTGGCGGTGGCGACGGCTTCTTCATTAGGGTTAGGAAACCCTAATCTGGAGCAATCTTGGACCGTTGGATCAAATCTGATCCAACGGTCGGCATCCCAAACGGCTAGCAGCTAAGGTGGAAAAACCCTAACGGGTTAGGGCAATCTGGGCCTAAACGGGTTGGGTCATCCTGGTTATTGGGCCTATTGTAGATCCGAGTCTTGAGTGAGTTATAATCTGGATTGGGCCTCATTTATTGGGTCTGAAAAAAAATATGTAACATATATTAATAATAATAATAATATATATATTATAATATAATACATATATATATATTAATACTAATAAAAAATGGATGTCTACAGCTGCCCCTCTTTGCACATTCTTGTGTTAACAAGAATAGGGCAAAGATAAAAAAGACAACCAATTTTTTATTCAGTCTTCATTCGTTGTTGGATTGAACAAGTTCTTCTCATTATGAACTTCTTCTTTCTTGTTGGATGAGTTCTTCTCATTATGAACTCTCCATTGAAAGACGTCACTGATTCGAAATGTCGTGAACCAAGTGATAGGGCAAACAAGCTCTTCTCATTATGAACTTCTTCTTCCTCGTTAGATGAGTTCTTCTCATTATAAACTCTCCATTGAAAATGTTGATCCCTCAAGCGAGGCGTCACTGATTCGAAATGCTGTGAATCAAGTGATAGGGCGAACAAGCTCTTCTCATTATGAACTTCTTCTTCCTCGTTGGATGAGTTCTTCTCATTATGAACTCTCCATTGAAAATGTTAAGTCACCTCTTTCTGTGGTGGACTTGAAAGGAACAAGTTCTTCTCATTATGAACTTCTTCTCCCTCTGTCGGATGAGTTCTTCTCATTATGAACTCTCCATTGGAAATGTCAATCCCTCAAGAGAGGCATCACTGATTCGAAATGTCGTGAATTGAGTGATAGGTCGAACAAGCTCTTCTCATTATGAACTTCTTCTCCCTCTGTCGGATGAGTTCTTCTCATTATGAACTCTCCATTTAAAATACTGATGCGAGGTCAAACAAGTTCTTCTCATTATGAACTTTTTCTTCCTCGTTGGATGAATTCTTCTCATTATGAACTCTCCATTGAAAATGTTGATCCACCTCCTTTTGTGATGGACTCGAAAGGAACAAGTTCTT